ATGATATCGGAGTCTTTGAAGATAACTTGATGAATATACCCAGTTTTATCATTCTTATTAGCAGAAGATGATTCATGTTCATGGGATCTAATATAATGCAGAAAAGCTTGTGAAAAGAAAAGAAGGTGGGGACAGTGTATGGTTGAAGTGATTTTAATTACTTGGTTATGATTGATGCTGAAATTATAAATAAAATAAAAGTAGAGAAGGAAAATGTTCTCTTTCTCTTCATTTTTTTCTGGTGTTCATAATGTTTGTTCTTTGACAGCTATCATCCCAGTTGGTAGAGACGGCCATAGTGGCAGGCTGGCTCAGTCATCCTCAACAAGGTGAATGAAGTCAACCTGGCCATTGCGTCAACCGTCTCTGATAGGGTGATTGACGAAGTGGTTGATTCCCTGTCCAAAACGTGCAAAAACTTGGTAAGTAGAAACTACGTAAGAGTGCTTCTTTCACTTCTTTTCACTTCTGTTCCTTTGGATGATGATGTGGATAGACTGTAGATACTTAGATTTTTGTGTCAGGTTTTTTTTGAGGAACTAGTTTATATTATTCATATTTATTTTTGGCAATAGCATTTCATTTAATTATTTATATATTTACTTTTTTTTTTTTTACTAAAAGAGGTACATCTTACTGGCTAGATGATTTGGACATCAAACAATATCATTTTTAAATGTTTCTTAAGTGGAATATACTTTGTGATGTCTCCTCTTACGCTATTATCCTTTGAGAGAGTATTTTATGATTTTTACTTGTTTTGATATGACATTTTTCTTTTCTTTTCTTTTATCAATGTTGAGTATTCATTCTTTACTTGTATTTCATGACCCTGCAGCAGAACCTGGTAAGTTGATATGACAACATGTAAGGATTGGTAATAGCTGCCACACTTAGCTCTGCAAACAGTGCTGTCGTAGGGATGTTTAGAATGACCCCATTTGACTGTTGGATTTCCATGTAGTTTTATTATGTTATTGACACTTTTTTTTCTGTTTTTATGATTTTTGAAAGAATCTCTTGATTTTGTAGAAAGCATAAGTGCCATTTTGAGGGCAAGGAGAATGCTCCTCATGACTGTTAGATTGGATTGAAAACAGGGACTTCAAGATCCAGCTTTAGGCTCTGAATTGTTCTACTGACTGTAGATAGTTTGGCTGCATTATGCATAATTTGTATTACAAGCTACAATTTTTTAGAGCTTATTGCTATTTTGCCATATGCATGAAGTAAAATTTTGATATATCAGTACAGGAAGGTACAGAAATTATATACTGGCATATCATAAATTTTTAAGAGAGATTTCTTTTTTACTAATTTAATTGATCACATAATTGCCAGTTCTGATTATGATGATTATATCAAAACTGCAGACTGTAGAGATGGATTCTATGGAGTGCCTTTGTACTAAATTCAGGGTCATTGGGTATATGCTTCTTGGACAGTCATTGAAAGAAAGTTAAAAGGTATTTGGAGCTTACTAACTACATAATTTCTGCAGACCTTTGTATTTACTTTGAATGCTTCAGGGTACTACCGCTCATCATATTACAAATGTTCTGAAATGCAAATGATTAGTAGCTGATCTTGTAGGTATATATGCTAACTTTTTTATTCACTCACTAGAATATTAAAAGATGTCATAGTTTTATTGACAAAGTGGCAGTGGCTTCATTCTAATGATTTTAGAGACACTTGGAGCAGGGCTTCTTTAATTTGGTTGTCAAAAAGAAGGAAAGAAGACTCCAGGCATTCTTGTTTTTCTATTTACTTATTTCCTTTCTCTCTGCCTGTAAGGAATCTTTGCATTTTCCCCCCTGTCATTTCTTTGTAGCTATATTCTGTAGAGATATGAGAATGACCCAGATTTAATTTCTTTCATTATACCTTGTAAATTTTGAAAGGAATTACCTTTTTTTCTATTTATCCTCTTAGACCTTATGCAAATACTTTACTTCATTATTTTCAGTATTTCTTGGTGTTTTCAAATATGATTTATATATTACCGATTTAAATCATTGATTACTATAACCACACATAACATTCACTTCAGAAGGTCAGGACAGAAATATGTTTCCTTACAGCAATCTGGTGAAGGGCCAAGGAAGAGGGCTTCAACGGGAACTGAAATGGGAAGCCGCGAGCGAGGAAGCAGCGAGTCATCGACACGCAGCGAACGCTCGGACACAGTCAGCCAAGGGGACGACACCACCAGCCAAAAGTCTGACCCATCACCTCTGGTCAGTTTCCCTTGAGTCCCATCGAGGATATCTTCTTGTTTGCTTATTTTTTTTTTGATAGGTTTACTTTTTTATCTTTTGTTTTAAATGTTTTTTTTCTTCTTCTTCTTCTTCTTCTTCTTCTTCTGTATTGATTTAATTAAGATATGTGTGAGTTAAGATGATCAATTTCTAAGAAAAAAAAATGGTGAGTTACTTGCTATCCAGTAAAGCTTGATTACTGTAAGTGTGGTAAATATGATTAGACATGTATAATTACTGCGGGATTTACACCCAATATTCTCTGAACTCATTGGCCTGTTCAGTTTTATTTAACAGAAAAGATGATTTATCAAAGGTGATTTGGTCTCTTATTCTGCTATGGAAAGGATGGAAAATATGGCTTGTGCAATGTGATATGCAAAAATACACAAAGCCTGTAAGAGTCACGATTTTGTAGAATCTTGGAGAGATTTTGTGGTAAATAGAAAACACTGTTTGAGTAAGGATTAGTAGATTACTATGGCCCATGTCGTATACATAGCAAGTTACGTATTACATGTGCAGCCTCTTTGTAGCAGTGCAGTCATACCTCAGAAATTTTTGAGTCTTTGCATTGAAAGTATATATTTGTAAAGGTAATGATAACTTTGATACATTGATATAGCACTAATGTCACTATCTCATACAGCCACCAGTATAAATGGTGCGGCTGATTATTTTTGCAGAAACAAAAGCATTGAAAATTGGTACTTAAACATAATTTCAACTATTCCTGGCCAAGCACCTGCCAGCCAAAGCATCATTTGTTCAGGTACAACTGACTTTTATTCTGTTCATAGTTCCATTTGCACTCTTGGGCACACATCCACTTTCATTACATAAATAGTATTGCTGACAAGCCATCCCCTATTTTTTTTAAAGCTGGATATTGCACCACCGCTAGTTTAGAAAGTCCATCTGCAAGCTTGTGAAATGTTGCAGTTAAAATTGGTGCCATACCAACTGCTGCCAGTGCTGCTATGATAAAATTTTGAAACGAGTATGATTCTGCTATTACGTACAGCCATTTAACCACAAACCACATAACAAGCAGTACCAATACACACTTTACTGAAAGAAAATTTGTAGACCTGCAAATTTAAGAGCTTCCTACTGTTGAGATATTCCGAAAATTTATGAACCTTATGTATTTATTCCTGTTTTTGCATTTCTTATTTTTATTAAGAAGTTCCTACCCAAGAATATTGACTGCTGGTTTTGCACTGGGTTCAGCTGCTTGGATCTTTTCTTCTTTGTTTACCAATACTCTCTCTAAAATAAATGTGACCATACACAGAGGTATATATTTTGGTAATTGTTTTTCTTGCTTTAAAAATATTAGTTTTCATTTTTCTTATTTATGGAAGATATAGATAAGATACATATTCCCATGTTTATCACTAGACAATACTGATTCTGTAGATAGGCAATTAAATGCACACATTGCTTATTGTGATTCATATTGTTATTATCTCTTGTGATTTATGTATCTGCAGTTGATTGTGACTTTGGTGGCATTATAAAGCACATATTTGTATTTTTAACCATGCTACTCCTGTTTGGTGTTGGGCGTTGATCTTATTTCTCTGTCTCCTTTTTTTCCCTTCATGCTGACTCACAGAAATTGGAATATTTGAATCTCGTAAGTACTTATTGATGTCTTGTGTTTGCATGCTTGATTGATGCACTGCAAGCTCCCGAAGTTTTCTTTCCCGGATGTGTGAGTGCGTGACTTATCTTACTGATGCTGTTGTGCATGGTTATAATGCCATTTCTGTTTATTAATGTTACTTTCTTTTGTGAACCTTCAAGTGCTTAGTGTATCTGTGTAATAAAGATTTTCTATTTAGATGAAAATAGTATAATTTCTTTTGGGAAATGTTGTTGACTAAAATATCACTTTCAGGATAATTATGCCACATGCATATAACAGTAGATGGAAAAGCAGTGGTCTTTGCAGTCTTTGAATTAGTTTGTTTTATAGTATTACACCTATAGTGTAAGGGGAATATTGTTCATTGGTATTCAGGCCAAGATTCAAACACGCGTCCTCATTTCAAAAGAGTCTATTCTTCTAAAGGTACATTTAACAGCACTTGAATGTGTTGGAGACGAACATATGGCCTTGCTTGATGTTAGATACGATGATATGACAGTATGATGGTATGATGCTACGACATCATACCATCGTAGCGTCATACCGTCATACTGTCATACTGTCATACTGTCATATCGTCGTATCTAACATCAAGCAAGGCCATATGTTCGTCTCCAACACATTCAGGTGCTGTTAAATGTATCTTTAGAAGAATAGACTTTTGAAATGAAGACGCGTGTTTGAATCTTGGCCTGAATACCAATGAACAATATTCCCCTTACACTATGGGTGTAATATATAGATATAACTACTACAGTTCAACAAAATTGGAAAAAATATCTTCAGCAATATGCTTAGACCATTTATTTAATGAGCTTTATTTTCAGCTTGCTAAGTTATTGTTGACTTCAGCTTTGTATTGAACTTTTCAAATACATAAGACTGATGTAAGGCTGAACTGCTTTATAGATTGTGTGATTTCTTACCCTGTTTATAGGTACTCATTTTTGAAAAGGATTAAGATAATGTTATGTACAACTGATTTTTTTTTTTCGATATTGCAGTATAACCTTTATAAAGAATATATGCTTCTTCCTGCTTATTGCTGAAACTACTTCAACATTATTCTTTGACTTTCTTAACAACTGCTAATGACGGCAATAGTTTTTGAGAATCACTGACAACTTTGTGACTGACCTTCATATGCCTGTTATGATAAGAGAGTGCGCACCTAAAAAGCACCCATTCTTGTGTGGATTAACGCATGTCAACATCTGCTAAGGGGTGGAATGTCCACCCTACGTACAGACGTCATGGACGACTTAATTGTAGACAGGTTTTTCTATTTTGTATGTGTGTGTGTATCTAGGCTATGATTTATTCAGCTGTTTTTGACTGTTTGCTGATTGTGATTTTTGTTCCAGCGTTAGAGGGAATCAAAGTAAACATGGGTTTTGTAAACAAGAAATGTAGTTCCAAAGACTGTATCTCATGTTATAATTCAAGGAAAAATCTGCAGAATTTTGATCCAAGGATAATATTAGGTAGATAGTATTAGGATATGTACTTCTTATCTTTGATGTAAGGATTACCTTTACTTTTTTTGTGCATGCTGTGACACTCATTTTCTTTTTTCATTGGAAACTAATTAAATGAAAATAATTTTTATCTGAGAAGGTGATCTTACATCTTGGTATGTACTTCAAATAAAGAGGAATGTAGGATTTAGCTTGTACAATTTCAAGTTCTTAATATGGTTATTAGTATTGTTTGTAGAGTGAGAAAAAGGAGAGAAAAAAGGTGTACAATAAAGAAAGAAAGATTTTTAGGATATTTTTATGGAATAGAAATTAATTGCTGGACCTTGTATTACTGTATTAGCATTTGTGTAATAGGTTTGATGTGTGTTTGTATATGTGTTTTAGATTTTTTTGTTTCTATTACAAACATGTAATCAAAAATTATGAAACTTATCTTTAGATTCTTTATCCTGTGCTTGAATTTAAAGTAGGTGACCTGGAAATGAATAATTTCTGGTAACCCTTATAAAAAAATTTATTCAGATTCATATACATTCTCAATCTCATCTGTGTTATAGGCTACCCCGCAGCTTGCGTCAAAACGCAAGAGTCTCCATGGAAGAAAGTTGAGGCCACAGAGTGTTGTAGGTGAGTATATTTTTATTTAATAAGAATAAGATGGTAAATTTGGTCTTATATATTTCATAACATCTTGTATGGTAGTTTGAGCATGCTTGCCTACTCAGCTTGAATACATCTTATATAATTGTAACAAATAGTGTAGTTTTATGCAGAAATATTTTCTCATGCTTTGATTGCATGATGGTGATCAGTTTGCAGACTTATAGCATGAATAGAACTTTTGCTTTTCACTTGATTTCAGTGCAGTTTTATCTCTGGAAGCATTGGTAGAGCTTGTAGATATACATCCCTAATTTGCTTGATTCCCATTTACCACTAATCTTATAATTTGCATGACCCAAGGGTACAATGATAGCGTACAGTGATGAGGCTTTTTCTTATCTGAATGCATGCTGATACTTTGGATTGCTCCTGTTCTTCCAGATTATGCTGATATTCAGGCGGCCTTGAACACCGAACTTCAGTCAGTCGATCTAGTGCAGAAAATTTCTTGAGTGACGGAAGTAGTACTTTTAGCACAGACATTTTATGCGGGTCATCAGAGAGTCTAGATATGGACACTGTCATCACTGGGGCAAGGATGACAATCAAAGATACAGGGGGGAGCTACTGATGTCTCGTCCTCAATCTTCCTCATTTGAACTCAGTCAAAAATCACAAGAATTTATCTCACAGCAAACACATGTCTACGGGTACGTCATGTGAAATTAAGGTTGTTGTGATTACAGAAACAGGGTCCATAGAAACATGGTGTCTGGTTGTTTGTGATATTTGACATATTCTTTTATTATTCTAGAAATTTAATTGACAAGATTTTTCTTGATAAGATTTAAGAAAAGGAATTAGATTAAAAAGATTCAGTTTCTAACAATAGAAGGAATGTATATTGAAGCCAGCATAGCTAATTAAAATTAACGGAACTGAAATATTTCAACCATATTCTAAGTCGCACACACTAGGCGCCACAACAGTCCTTTACTAGACCAAGGCCTTTATGCATATTCTAAAACAAAATGTTAGTTGATGATTTCATTGGTAGTGTAGGAGGCAATTTGATTTTAGAAAACTTGCTGCTGACTCAGGTTTCAAGTGGTTTATGTTCCGTTGTATAAATCTCAGTGAATGATTGAGTGATTTCTCATACATTATAGTATTATTTTCAGCTAGATATGTATATAATTAAGTAATAGGTGCTTGTTTTGTAGAATTGTTGTGGGATTACCTTAAAGTGATATTCCAAGTTATGGAGTTATTGTTTGGTGAACTAATGCACCGCATCTGCATCAGATTGCAAGACAGCACATCCTTTACATCATCAAGGTTGCCAGTTTTTGAAAAAAGCTGATTGTATTTGATAATGTAATCTCTATATATACTGACAGAATTAGCTTCAAAAGTGGAATCGTTGGAAGTTTTATGTGGTGACTATTTGTGTTGAGCACTTTTTAGAGTTGGCATCCCTAGTCAAATTAGCAGCCTGGTCAATTCAGGGACTTCCTAAACTCCATCCCGCACCACTTGCATTATGAGCCTAGATCTAGTGTAGGACTGGTGTGCGAGACCTAGAATATGGTTGTGTATCATACATTGATAGATTATGGGTATTGCTGTTATCACATTAGCATTATAAATAGAAAATTGCACTAACTCTTGATATTCTCATCACCTGTATTGGCTTAATTGTAGATCAAAGCTTTAGTAAAAATGTATATATAACAAACTGTTAGAATAGTTAGATACTCAATGTTTTTATATGTAAACATATGGTGTATAGTAGTCCTTTGAATATAATAGTTTTAGTATTTTAGTTACTTGAATAATTTTCAAGAATTCATTCAGTACCATGAACTTGATTTATCAAAATTTAGTGTTATTAAACAACTCAATCACAACTAGAAGAACAGAGAGTTTAGAATAGTATTCATAATTCCAGAGAAATATGCAAAGAAGACCATCCACTCAGTCTTTTTCCTTTCTTTAGCTTGCATGATTGAATGATTCCATATTCTCCCCCTCTATTAAAAGACCAAGAAATTCCATATACAGAGAATGCATGGTTTAGTGTATAGACCTTAAGATATTTTCTGCTTGTTTGTCTGTCCCTGTCTCTGCTCATGTCTTGCAGTCTTTTTAAAGGGTGTTAAACAGTGAATGATGAAGGGTAAAGAGGTTTGTGTAAAGGAAAGTGACTGTAATGTTCATTTGGATTGGAATTTAAATCCTGTAATCTTTTAGTAGATGAAGATTGTTGCAAGAAAAATATGTAGGTGAATGAAAGCATAAAGTTTGCATTTGTAGTGCTCTTCAGCAAACAGTTTAATAGAAATTTAAAAAGTGTGTTGTATTTACACATGTGACAAAGTTTTATGCTCTATTATATTACAATATCTACATTATGGTATTCATGTCTCTGTAATTAGATTTTCAATGTATAGCAGTTGCAGTGTTTTAATGCAGTATGTGATTAGTTTATTTTTCAAGATTTAATTCCTCAGTGCAATATGGAAGAGAAGAGAAAGAATCAGTCTAATAGATTTTTTTATGTCAAATTTTATTTCACGGGAAGAAAACCCTTCAGTCACTTGACTAACTTCAAGTCACTAATCAGTTTAACACCCAAAAATGTCATCCATTTTCTAGTGCGAATGTGGAGAGGTCAGGTAGTCTGACTAGAAGAGGTTGACTCTCCTAGAGCTTGTTTGTTGGTTTGATGCATGCAGTATGTTTTCAGGCATTATAAGTGGTTTGACTGAGGTAGACAGCAGTCAGTCCAGGCGTGCAGTCAAGTCTTTACATTGCCCAACTATAGCAAGGAAAAGGGTAGGCTGCCGTGACTTAGTTTTCAATGTATTTTTATCAATATCCTTATTTATTCTTTAGAATTTACATTTAGTTTTGTTTTTTCACTTGACCTTCCTGTTTCTTACTTGCAATTGTAAGTAATTAATCTTGATTGTTTTTTTTCATATTTAGTTTCCTTAATGTATTTCTTCCTATCAAGTGCTTTTAGTTTTCTGTCATCTTTATTTAATCATTCAAACACACATTCATGCACATGAACATACACTTCTTCAAGTAAAACTGCGCATGTACACAACACTCAAACCCACCCATTCACCCCAACACCCAGACACCCATCCACTTCCTCACATTCACACCCAACCTACCCACACCCTACACACCACACCCCACTCTCTCCCCCACCTCTCACCCCCTCCTCTCACCCCACCTCTCACCCCCCCCCCCAGCTCCCCACAAATTGTACACATCTTGTTTTGAATTTCCTTTACTGCCTTGTTTTTTTTACTGTTCCCTTCATGATTATTATTTTGTAAGAGTAAAAAAAAGGGGAGTAGTAACTGCAATTTTAAAGAAATATTCTTTACTTATTTATGTCATATTCTTTGCTTTTTTTGGTGATTTTTGAATTTATTGATTACCTTTTGCTGCTTTCTTAATTTTCTTTTAAGGAGCTTTGTAATTTTAAAAAGTGATTAAAGACCCATTAAATTTTCTATACACATACATAATGCACGTACACACCAAAAAATCGGGCTCTACAGCTCACTGAAATCTCATTCCTTGGTCAAACAGCTGAGTCATTAGACAGTGTGTCGGAGTTGCCAAGCAGCTGTGGACAACTGCAGCATCTGGGCAAGGCCAGACCTCGAAGAGTGAAGACCAGAGCCCCAACCAGACCCATGGGCAGAGCTGATCTAGTCGAGGAAGACCATGACATTTCCGAGGGCGTTGACACCTTCTTCAGGCCTGGGTCGTCAACACCCACAACGCCCCTCATCTCCCCTGACTCAGAGAACAGGTTAGTATGAAATGAAGTCTGTTGTGAAAGAGCCATCTTGTCCATACAACATATAAAATGATATGAGAATGGAGTTGTGATTTTTCTTTTTGTGTCTCTCTCTCGTGCCTCCCCTCTCCTCTCTCTCTTGCCTCTCCTCTCCTCTCCTCTCTCTCCTCCATCTCTTGCCTCTCCTCTCCTCTCTCTCTTGCCTCTCCTCTCCTCTTTCTTCTACTCACCTCATCTCTCTCTCTCTCTGCTGTTCCCATTTCACTTTTCTTTTCTTTTCTCTTATCTCCTCTCTCTCCTCTCTTCTCTTCTCTTCTCTTGTGTGTCTCCTCTCTTTTCTTCTCTCTTCTCTGTTCTTCTCTTTTCTCTTCTTTTATCCTTTTTTATGGCATTGTGCAATTTACTTAAGCCAGCTGTAAGGAAATTCTGTTGGTGCGTGTATTTAGACTATGTTTGTATTTAAAGCCAGACCGGAGTTAGCCAGGACTCTCAGTAAGTTGATGAAGCTAATGAAAAATAAGTTTTATGTTTATTTTTATGCTTCTCTTACACATGCATTTACATAAATACGAACCCCTGCACACACAGACACACATTGACAATAACATACAGACACTCTTTTGGTTATGAAGTAGTTAGTCTTCTCTTCCTTGGAGGCATTATCAGTAAGCACATCCCACTCTCACTGTAATGTGAAAGAAGTAAGCCGTCACATTGTGTGTGAGGATGTATTGGTATGGTTACCTGAGGGATGGTTAGAATACTCTAGGAATCTGTATATTTAACCAAATGTTTTGTTGTTGTTGATTTTGTATATATTTATTGGCATTCCGAAATTTTAAAAGACAGTTTAATTTATTGTGGGAAATGGAGTACCTGTATTTGACTTTGAAAGTTAACAAAAATTGGTTTGTGTCAGATATTTTCATAAATGTACCATGTGTTTGTGTATATGGAAGAGAGTTAGTGAGTAATGGGTGAGAATGGGAAAGTGGATGCATATGAATGTATATATGCAATATATTAGTATACTTGGATTGAAAGAGAATGAGAGAGTGCATGTGTGTATGCATGTTTTCACACTTGCACATGAACATATTTACATTTACAGTCTTGCAAGACCCATCCACTGGTTTTATTACTGAGAGGTAATTTAAAAAGATAGTTCTCTTCTTGTTACTTGCTTCCTCTTCATTGATATGAAGTTACATAAGTGGCTAAATAAAAGTGAAAGTATTGTGCTACTATCTTGGAAACAGTGAATGGGTTACTTACAAAATAGATTTTTTTTTTTATATAGAAATTTTAAACTCATTGCTTGATATTGCTTTTACATTATAGTAATGCTTGGACAATGCATGTATTGAAGAGATTATATATATATCTATAAATATCTTTTCACATTTGCATTACCATCATATAGGGTCCAAAACCATACATTAAACATACCCCTTCAACCCCTGCCCTTTACAGCCCACGGCTACTCAAATATGGCTCCACCTCCTCTGTTGAGAGCTCCCCCCATACGGGCGGAGCGAGAACTGGCAGTGAGAGAGGCAGCATTGAGTCGCTCACGCGGTCAGACTCGCTGGCGCGGTCGGAGTCAGACGTGACGAGGGAGAGCCCACGGCCACGCACCAAGTCTCGAGATACAGAGGAGGAAGATGAGATGGAAGATGAGGACCAAAGCATAGACGAGAAGAGGTAACTGAAAGAACATGTGATAGAAAGAGTTGTCTTGTTTTTATAAGTATATGGTGACTTTATAAGAAATGAACGTCAAAATTGAATTATTATGGATAGATTTTATGACAAATTTGAGGAAAGAAATATGGGAAATGATAAAGTTCTTTTTCTTGTACTGTATATGCATATATTCTTTTTTATTTTAGATCTTATTACATATTTCAAGTAAAACCAAAGAAAGAAAAATTATTTGCATCTATATAATATCTATTCAATTAGCCGCAGTGTAACCAGCTTGATTGGAAGACGAGCCAATGAACCGATGTTGAAGAGATCACCAGATATGAGCGCAAGAAAAGCCTCGACATCATCAAACATCAGTTCTATGGATGGTTTGTAAACTGCTTGGTTATGCTGTCTTCTGTATTTTATTTTAGATTTTCTGATTCCATAGTTAGGGGATTAGATAACATTTACAGGAAACATTGAGAAGAAGTAATTTGTAAAGAAAAATATTCTTATGTAGACCACTTTTCCTGTGAAAAAAGAGAATAATGATCCTTACCAAGAAGCAGAAATTGTTGATCTAGCCCCTTTGCTCTCTCCCAATCAGACAAAAGCCGCAGTGAGGAAGACGGGAAGGAAGATTCTCCTCCAAGGAAAGTAGCTGGTTTGCCCAAGTTTGGGATGGGCATTGGAGGAAACATCTTGGCAGAGATGAAGATGATGCAGGAGAAGAGAACGTCTGTCTTACCAAAGGTAAGCTTGAATCATGCTTGGGTGAATGGGTATATGCATGAGTGTGGGTGTGTGCAGACATGTGCGCATTTAGAATATATTTGTGTATATCTGTGTGTTTAGTTTTGGGTGCAGTTCAAGAGGGATTTTTTTGTAAAAAGCAGAAAACTCCTGATCCCACAGGATGAAGACAAGGATCGTGATGAGAGAAAGGAAAACCCTTCAAGCAGCTTGCTCGCAGGTGTGAGGCTGCGGTCCACAGGCCTCGCAGACAGCCTAAAGTCTCCCACCAATGGCTTTCCAAGAGGATCCAGCGGCAGCAAATCTCCAAACTGTAATAGGGATTCGGTTATTGAAAACGCAGGTATTGATGGATGATTTCTAGTTCTTTTCTGCAGCTGTGTTTGTGATTGACTGATAATTAAGAGCTTTTAAGTCCCTGTCAACTGACCTTTATTGATTTATTTAAATAGTTTTGAAGTTTTATTTTGTATAGGAAATGATATCCTGAATGATAATTAAGCAGAGATTAGTATAGAATAGTAATGCAGATAAGCTGTCGGCAATTCAATAAAGCGATAAATTCACATTAGTAAAAGAAAAAGTTAACTATGGAAGACATGTAAAATGGAGTTTTTTGCTCCTTCTGTTTATAGTTTCAGTAACTCAAAGTATCATGGGTCAAAATGAATACAAAATTAATGTGAATTTGAGCTCAGAATGGTCGACATATATTAGCTGTTGCGCATCTAAAAATTCTAAGTTGCTTTGTCTTGCCGAGTTGCCTGGCCATTGTTCTAAGTGCTTCTGAAGTATGTGCACCCGAGTTGGAATGATGATAGATTTTTAAGTTCTTATCCTTTTTGTCATCCTGGAAGGTTTCAGATTTATTATTAAAAGAAAAAATAGAATTAAAAAAAGTCCCTCAGTTCTGGATAGAGTTCTTTTGTTTATAAATAGGCTTTACAATTATGTTTTATTTTTAATTTTTCTTTGAAACAAATTTAAATGAGAACTTAATGCTTTATATAATTAGATATGCATCTTACAGATTTAAATTGAGCATGGACTGACTAAACAGACATGTTCATTGACTGTGAAATTGCTTGTAGCACTTTTGTTTATATTCTCTTGTTTAGTTTGATTTATTTTCCTTTGTTTGTTTCTACTCAGATAATAAATGGCTTTCCAAAAGGAGCAAAGTGCCACAAGCATATTGTATGCATTTGTTTGATGCTTGAGAACTTGTGAATTCCTTTTGTTATGAAAGTATAAACAAAATCATGCAAAATATGTTCTGTATTAAAGTTCAGCTCAAAAAAAAAAATCATAGTTTGGTCAGTTTTGATTTGGAGAATAGCTATTACATATCTAATAAAACGTCTGAGAGAGGCACGTATACTTGCATGTATACACACACGTTCCGTCATTGACTCAGGATTTGCATTTGCATCCTCACCTGCTCAGTCCATTGATAAATTTACTGATTCATTGATATATTACTTCATTCATCCATTCACCCTCTCACTCACTCACTCACTCACCTACATTTTTTTTTACTTCACGACACACAGAGAGTTAACCATCAAAACTGACTGAGCTTAGACTGGTGTAACGCACTCTTTTGTCATTTGTTTTGCCTGGCTTCTCTGTTTTATTTGACCGTATGCATATGTGTGGGGCTCTCTCCAGGACCCAGCCCGAACACCAAGCCTGTGATCGCCGCCCTCAAACCTAAGCCCCCTCCCCCTCTTGCACCTAAACCACGACCCAAGTCTGTCATTGGAGGAGACCAGAGAGCAGGTAAACATTGCATCCAGGGGCTTGTTCAGTGTGTAGGAACCAAAGGTGGATATGATCTATGTATTTTAGAGATATATGTACGTGTGTGAATATATGTAGGTGGACATAAACGCACACTGATGTATAAGTAATTTTTTATGTATAGTATCTGGATTGCATTATATATCTCCATTTTTCAAATCTATCTGTTATAAATGAAAGTTGTTGAAACGGATGTACAAAGGAGTTTCATATTAGTGTGGCAGGAATTCATCTATTCCCATGGCATATCCTGGTAATAGGTCAGCTGGTGAACAACTAGTCAACCTTGCTGTAACCTAGATACCTTCATAATTTACCCAATTGTATCAGAATGTGAATCTTTTTCATATAATACCTCACTTTCATTTGGATCTAGTATACTTAAGGCTTGTACAATTATTGTTTATTTAACCTCTCCTGCTACAATCTCATATATCCCTAACTTGTTATTTTCTAACACTTTGACCCAAGGCCATGACCCAGACATTAATTACATTCAAAGATAATCATGTAAATGGCTTGTTTATTTCTTCAAAGTCCTAAAATTGCACCACAGGGAAAGAAACTCTTCTTTTATGGTTATTTTTATATTTTGAATACATTGATATTGATACTCATAATATGGTTACATCTTATGTTCTCTGTACTGAGCAAGTTCCAAATTGATTTGTCCATTTGGATTTTTTCCTTTTGTTTGGTGTGTTCAAATGTTGATTGGATTGGTGCCTTTCTACTAATATTTTTTTTTTTGTCTAACTGATTATCTGCCTTCACAGTCTTTTCCTCTCCTTCACTCTTATGTTTACCTAGTGCTCTCTTTACTCTTATCCCTCTATTCTTTCCTTTTTTCTCTCTCTCCCTTTCTCCTTTCTTTCTCTCTCTCCTTTCTCTCTCTCTCTCCTTTCTCTCTCTCTCTCTCTCTCT